TATCTATAGTTTCAGAATCCGCCATGTCAATGCTTGAGACTATATATATATATAGGTGATGTTACAATAATATTAATATATTAGGTCTCTCACACACACTCAAAGGATAATACAATAAAATAAAGGAGACCATGACTAGAATAAAATTATCAAACCCTTTCAAGTTATGTGAGAAAAACAATGCATAAACAATGAGATAAGTTATTTAGTCCAATTGAACAATTGTGTAGCAGTGGGTTCAAAACTAAGGCAACATGCTCCACTTTCAAGCTTAATGAACTTGACCTACTGTTCATAAACACCAGCTTGTTCGCTGAAACAAACAGTGGTGTACACATTGGAATCCAACATGAGATGCAACTGTTTGACTATATATATAATAAAGTAGAGTCCTCCAAACCTGGGCGGCAAAGATAAATTTTTGATACTTTTTCCCTTGGAAGTATTTGTTTTAATAACTGACCAATTGAATCCATGCCAGAAATTTGTAACAAGAGTATCAAAGAATATTAAAGTTATATCCACAATGTAATTCATGTTTCAGGTTCTCAAACAGACCTTCACCAGTAAAAATCTGAGTCGACCTTGCATTGAAGAGAAGAGTTAGGGGACAACTATCTTTACTTTGATTTGCCTGTAATACATAAATCAGTATTGTTCTATAATAATCAAACCAGAGATTAAGGGTTGTTATGAAGATTAACAGAAAGGACTAGCTCTTGCAAAAGGGTTGAAATATCCAATTGTTTTGCAAAGCTTAATTAAATCCATTACTCTCCTAGTCAATTGGTTAGCCCCATCTCCCACTTTCTGGTATATGTAGTTTAGCTCTTTTTTAACTACTATATTTTTTACTCTACTTGTATGGAAAAATCTTGTATCCAAGTCTTCGATAAATTCGTCTCACCAGCCCCCATTTAAACTATATGCGCATATTCTACTACTTAATTGCAAATTAACACACTTATAGTAGACTTTCAGCAATAAAAAGATGATTTCTAACAAAAAGAGATAATTGTTGTCATGGAAACTACGATTTGTCTTGAGGATGAAGCTTCTAATGACTAAAAAGAGAGTGACAACCGTCTCTCTGAAGTGCAATTTTTCTTACCACATGTAAAGAAACTATCAAACCCTTTCAAGTTCATGTAAAGAAAGGATTGCATTAAAAATTAGCAGATGCATTTCAGTTAACAAGGACTGGTATAAAACTAGAAATTCCTTCAAGTTTTATCATAGATTATACATTAATATTTTCATTACTTGTATAAAGGATTTCAGTGAATTAGGACTGGTATAATCTGGTTTATACATAGTCAAATAAGTAATTTATTAATCTAGTTTCTTGTTTGGGTTAAGATTAAAACAAGTCTTGTTTGGGTTAAGATTATAGAGCCTATGACACTAGCTATCAACAACAAAATGCAATTAAAAGAAAAACTGCTCAGTAAAAACACGATGAAATGGAAGTCCAGCACACAACTTCCAGATAATTTCACATCAAAATATGTGCTTCCGCAGCATCTAAATGCCTAAAAAATGTAATCTCATTAGTAATGCAAAAACAACAGAACAGCTAAATACTCAAATTTCATAAAAAATTAGGGCTACAAGAACAGAATCTCAAAGACCATTGAAACAGAGCACCATTGTGAAAGCCACCATTCCGAGATGCTTATAAAAAATATGTTAATATAATGCCCTGGTTAACCACACAAAGACCTTAGGGGCCACACCCACATGCTACATGTAACAATGTTAAGCAAAATATTGTGCAGCAAGCATAAAAGTCAAGAGCTGCAGTAATAAAATATCTTGAAGCAAAATATTTAAGGTAACATTAAGAAAAACAAATCTTGAAACCTAACTCACCGATTTGCGACTGCAATGGTGGGGAGGGGAGCTGCGAGTCTTGCGACAGAGAGAGACAGGAGATGACCAGCTAACGCCCGACGACGACATAGAGAGGAGATGACGAGCCGATGAGGATGAGTGAGGGCGATCGGTGACCGTAGGTTTGGGAATGGGATCACAATTCACGGATAAGAGATTGAGAGTTGAGAGAATGAATGAGTCAGGTGAGGTTAACTGATGACTGATGAGTGAACAGAGTGATGAGAGAATGAATGAGTCAGGTGAGGATCAGTGATGACAGATTCAGAGGTGAGAGCGAGAGAGAAAGTTATTTTGTTTTAGAGTTAGGGACTTAGGGTTACTGAGTTAGGGACTTAGGGTTACTGAGTTAGGGATTTCAGATTTGCAAAAAAGGGGTACCTGTGGGCACCCGCGGGTTTACCCATATAACCCATTAATAATACGGGTCAGGCCAAGTACAGGTTGAAAAAAAACGGGTCCAACATATTAAACCCATACCCTATGTTTTTTTCCTTGGGTACGGGTGGACTCGCGGGTCTGGACCTGTTTTGCCAGGTCTACTTGTGAGAGTTTTCCAGATCTGTAGAGCAAGCAAATGTGATGAATTCCTACAATCAAAGGCCTAACAACCCTTTTTCCAATACTTATAGTTCTATTGTTGCTCTACCTAAGCCTTATGTTCCACTTGTGCTGTTTCCAAGTCAATTAAATAAAAGAAAATGGGATAAGTCCTTTTCTAGCATTTTTGATATATTGTCCAAAGTTAATGTTAACTTACCTTTGCTTGATGTGATTAGGAACATGCCTGCATATGCAAAGTTTTTCAAAGACTTGAATACACAGAAATTTAGGTATGAGCCTAATGAGAAAGTAATGATTTCTGAGACAGTAAGTGCAGTGCTTCAATGCAAATTGCCACCCAAGTTGAAGGTGTTAGAGTATGTGCCCAAGAGTCAATCCTATTTTGTAAATTGACTCTTTTTAATCATGTTTTATTATCAATAAAGGCATTTATCTATATCATGTTATTTAACACTTCGATATTTTTCTGAACAAGTGCTCTAGCCTTTGAGTTAGTGATGAACTCTTTTTCAAGTATAAGCCAAATTTCATAAGAGAATTGACACTTCAATATTTGTCTACATGCTCTCAGAAATTGAAGCAAGTAATAAGCTAACTAAGAACTTATCAATTCGTTTCCATAGAGTATAAACTGGATTAATTTTTTCCTTAATAAGATCATCATCATCTTTATCACTAGGATTATCTCATTTGTAAGCTATATATGGAGTTGGACAAGGAACCAACTTGTTAGACGATCATCAAGTTCATCATGGGCTCCAACTACTGAAAGAACTTAAGAGCGCTAGAAACGATAAATCTCTCTGGTAAGCTATTGATTAATAGTCTGAAGAAGAGAGGAAACAACAAATGTTAGAAAATTAAGTGAGTTGTGTATCATCGTATCAAAATTCATTGATGATTTAGAGCTTTCAGACTTTTTTCACATTGACGTGAGTCAAATTAGCTCTAATACCATGTAAAACTTAGGGTTCGAACAGAGGAATTTGAGAGGAAAATTAAAGGGAAGATGGTTATTGGATTTCAGTAGATTCAACAACAACTAAGCTTAATGTACAATAACTGTTTTACGACAACTAAACATAAGCTAAAACTACATCACTTTGCTTTGGACTAAAACGACATCACTTTGGCTTGATTACTCTTGATACAAAAACGACTACATTTTGAGTTACAGAGTGAAGTAGCTACTGAAGGTTTTCTTAATAGCATGAAGTTTATATTAATCGAAAAAAAGAACCATACACTAATTTAGAAGATATAATGACTTTTATCCTTCAAGTTTTATAATTCAATGAAAACAATATTACAATTATATGATAGTAAAGAAAAAAAAAATGCAAATGAAATACCATACTTTCACGTCATGCTCTATGAGAGATGAAATTATTTTCTAAGAGAGATAAAGTAAGATTGAGAAATCTATACATATAAATCATAATTTTCTTGGATAATGGATATATTTTGATTACTTACGCGTATGCCTTCTCTAAACTTCTGATCACTATGAAAAGAAAGTGATATTAATTTGTTACAAATTTTGACCTAAAGAAAATAATAACAATTAATATAAAATTAATGTAAGTTTTTATTTGTGAAATTATGAAATGTGTGAACATTATTTGGATATATATGTACTTTCGACAGTTAAGCACAATGTGATCCTCGTTTTATCATTTACGCATGTGCAGACATTTCTAGTATATGTGTAAACATTTGATTAACCTTTTCTCTTTGTACACGCGTCATTATCAAAGATATTTTATATCTTAATTTGCCTTATGAAACTTGTACAAAAAGTCTCTTTAAAGGTGTCACTCTATTTTTAGAGTGGTACAAGAAAGTTGGTAAAAGGTTTTTACATGTGTACGATTGAGATTTGTTTTTGCAAGGATATAAGATGGGTCATCTTCTTCCTTGCAAACTAACCTGGTTTTTGCCTTCTTTTTGCTCTGAATTTTTCTGAGTATTCTTGCCCAGGTTCATATTGGTTGTTGACTCTATTGACAATCATATTATCTTTGATTGAGTTATGGGACGATGTTCCATTGATTGAAAGCTTGAAGAGAATCAAGTTCTGGAGCGAAACGAAGAGTTCCGCCATTGAAGATCATGTGGAGCTTGAACTGACCAAGCCGTGTCTTGGGTGGAAGCTTTCTGTAGCAGAGCACTGAAGGGATCAGAGAGTGGCGTTAGAGTCGTTTAGAACAGGGAGTGTTCTTTCATTGTAGTACTTAACACCCAACTCTAGATTTGCTTGTAATTGCATTTGTTATAGTGGATTGGCTTCTTTTGACGGGTCCCATGGATGTAGGCTAAAATGATTTTTAGCCAAACTGTGTGAATCTATGTGTGCTTTACTTTTATGCTCATGGTTGGTTGTCTATTTTGTTGAGTTTATGAATATTGAGCAAAAACGTTAAATACCCATTGAAACCCATTCCGCTGTGCATTAAAAGAGTTCATATACTCTTTCAGTTAATGTAACAGATAATGCAATCTGTAATAAACAACAAATAAATATTTTTATCGCTGACCGGAGAACTCCATTTTGGGTAATACAGTTTCATTAATACATCAGATGAAATTACAGGTCGACAGTTGGAAATGACATATACAACTTTATTTCTGTTTCCTAACATTATACTGGCTTGGAAAAAACCGAAAATGGAATGATGAGGATAATATATCTCTCAAAAGACCATATTGGGAAAAACCAAACACTAATAACGATAGAAATACAAAAATAGTACCTAAAATAGGGACTAACATTGACTTATAGTGATTATAAGCCATGTAAAAGCTTGAAATAAATTCTAACAACATGGTTTCTATAGATGTGAATAGCGCTAATAGTCCTATCAACAACTTAATCGGTAATGATTTGAAAAAATCATTTTGTGCATAACGGGATGTAAGAATAGACAAAAACATTAGGATTGAAATCGAGGAGGAGGATAACGCAATTATATCTGCTATAACAAAAATATGGAACACAACATTACCTCGATGGGTAGATGTTCCTTCCAAATTATTGTTACCTCTTGGTACAGTGAAAGCCGCTTAAAAAACCACAGTAGCAATGATTGTTGCAACAAGCATGCATTGACTAGCTGTGTTCCTCATCTACTTTTCTCCATCTTTCCGTAAGCCTGCATGTGTACTAGTGAAGAGCTCTCGAGGTGTTTTGCCTTCTGAATTCTTCAATCCTCTAAATGAAGGCAATGCAAGCTTTTCAACATCCTACATCATTAATATGAATCATTAGTTTTACACAAAGAAGTTGGTAGCTTAATTTTTGAATTATAAATTCATTACTGTTGGAATTCAACTCTATTTTTAGTATTAATTTTATTTAAAAAGTCAAATTATAATCATAACATATATATTTCAATTTAAACTATAATCAAGAGTCATCAATAATTTGCATTTTCTCGAAGTAAAGGTATATAAATAATTTGTACTTTTTCAAAGTAGAGGTATTTAATAATGATATTTAAATAATAAGACACTAAAGAAACTCTAGAAATATTTACCTTAAGAATGCGTAACACCTGGCACTATGCTTAATGGTCTTGGATTTGGATATTTTGTAGCTAGATGTAATAAACTATTTTCGTTGCTGTCTGGATAGGATGCTATCAACTGTTTGTTGAAACCTATCTGATCTATTAACTTAAATAAATCATCATGGCGATACATAATTGCAATGTGATGGTCTGTTCATTATCATCTTTGAGATGCACCAAATCAAGATAAAGTTCGATGAGTTTACCCAAGAATTTGAAGTTCCCTAATTGAGCTGCTTTGAACAATAAATCACGATGCTCTTTTAAGTAATCCCAAACTTGGTCACGCTTTGCCTCGAATATTTTCTCCCAAAGGCATTTGACTAACGCTAGAGCTTGATTTAATGAACTTGTTTTGTCACTTTCACTCTTTTGGCCTGTTATCTATAATATTTTCTCCCAAAAACATTTGACAGACTCTTTACTTCTGTTATTTTGGTCCAACAGATGAAAGGGCGCTAAAGCCAACCGATGCAAGGGTGTCAAACGATCCATGCCATGCTTGTATTCATTCAGTCACAGCCAATTCATTTTCATTAGCATCTTCACCTTCTAGCAATTCCCTTGCAAGATCTGAAGAGGGGGAAAAAAAAAAAAAAAAAAAGGAGAGAGAGAGAGAGAGAGTGAGAGATTACTTTGATTCATTTACCAAAAATTTAGAAGTTAACTAAATTCCGTCCATCATTATAAGTAATTTGTGCATATAGTTATTTTAGGGAAACAGATATTAATTCTATGATGAACTTATGATGTTATGCATTCTATATAATAGATTAAAATAAAAAATTTAAGATTAAAATCAAGCAAGAAAAGAAATACGTGAATACTCACCGTACAAAGAAGTATCGATGCTATCAAAAAATAATTGTTTTTTGTCAGCTAATGTCAGTGTTCCTCTATCATACTGCCGGTATAAATATAACGCCATTTGCCTTTCTCCAAACATAGCAGCCAGATTTAATGGAGTCAAATTACCGCCACCTCGGATTGTCAACAGGTCTGGGTCTTTATTCAACATTTTCTCAGCCATAGCAGCAAGACAGAAGGCAGTGTTCCCTTTTACGTTTTGCAACTTGAGGTCATCTGGTGCTATCTTATCAATCATCTTCTCTACAAAGTCAGTTTGATTTGCTCCTGCTGCTACATGGAAAATAGTTTCGTGTTTCTCTGTTATTGCAACATTGAATGGACTTGGTGTTGAAGCGGAGCTTGATGAACAAGACGCACTTAATGAGCTTGATGAAGAATCACTGAGCAGAGGATTAAATAGCTGACCATTAACTGCATCAATATTTCCCTCTAGTGCAGCGTTAAGAAGATCCAAACGTAATTTCTCCTTTTCTCGGTTCCGATCTTCAAAATAAAAAAATAAATTGGATGAATATTACATATGAAATTAAAATATGTATACTTGTTTCTTGTTTTGAGAGAGAGCTAACCAGTCAACAAATGAAGGGAAGGTAACCACTGAATATTTTGTTCACATCGTTCCAGATTTTGCTGCTGCTGATTAATATTTATTGGAACTTCCGTTGATTCATGATTTGAATTCCCACTTCCAGGGTCCATGTCTCCTGAATAAACGGGATCGATTTATTTTTGTCATAAGATATGCTACGAATACACATATGATGATATAATATTCATTGGTTAGCTGAAGTGCCTCTCCCTTGAATTCTAATTATTTGTACCATGCATTTTTATATTCTAAACAGTGCGAATCCTTATAAACGTAAACTAAAGCAAACCTTATAAGTTCGACACGAATACATAAATTTCAATACATACTTACATATAAACTAATTTAAAAAAGTATTGTCATGTAAAAAGCTGTGCAATTTTTATCGCTTGAGGAACTAAGAATTCTTAGAATAGTAATAATTTAATTAATAATTAATACTAAAATTTATTACCCATTAAAATTAACTAAATAAAAAAGTTAATAAAAATATGATTAAAATTATTCATTTTTAAGAAAATACCTTTTAAGAGAGGAGCACCTTTTCATTTTCTCATTTTCATAATACTATTTTTAGACAAACATATTGAATACTGAAAAACGAATTTACAAACAAATAAACTCTTAAAAGACAAAATTACAAGTATTCTTATCAACTTAATTTTATAAAGTTAATTCATTCATTGATGAGTTGATGACCAAATATATATCTGTGTGTGTGTGTTTAAGTAAACCTAATCATCTCCTTCTCATTTTTTTTTTTTTTTTTGATTTTTCTCTGACGTCTTTCTTCTTTCTTGTTTATTTTTCTCTCTTCTTCTTTTTTTTATTTTCCTTCTCTGCCGCCCCTCTTTTCCTTTCTTTTTCTTCTCTTTCCTTTTTTCTCCTTGGCCACCTCTCTTGTCGTTCTCCTTTCTTTTGTTCTCTTTTCTTCTTTCTTCTCTTTCTTTCTTTTTCTCCTCCTTCTCCTTCTCAATCCCTTCACTCCTCCAAGATCCAATCTGAGGAAGACCACATCTTGCCACTCTCTGGCCGCCTCTTGCCTAGATCGTGCCAGTACGATCCAGTGAAGCAGTGGCCAGATCATGGTTGCCCGATCTGTTCACCACTACACTTCCACAAACTTTTTTTTATATATTTTGCATATTTATTTTTTCAGTCAAGAGCTCAATAGATTTTATAAATTATAAGTTTGTGTGTTAAATTTTTGGAGAGTTTGAATTATAAATTTTCTTGATTTGGTAAGTATATTTTGGTGAGGAAGATTTTGTTTTGGATGAGAATAAAATTCTAACAAAAGAAAGAGGAAATTTTAGGGTGAATTTGAAAATTTTGATGGGGTTAAAAACAATATTTTTATAAATTAAGGAAAATTTTATAAATTTTATTTCATATATGTAAATTTAAATATTTTAGGCCAGATTATTATATTTTGGTTAAAGGGTAATAAGGTCATTTCAATAAAACGGTTATTAACAGAGTGAGGGTTTCTTAATCAGGACAATAATTTGAGGTGTTAGATTTTTTGGATGGCCGAGATTCGTTCATATTAAAATTAGTTACCATACAAAATTCATGGGAGAGAGAAGGTGAGAGAGACGAGGAGAGAGAAAGTGAAAGAGATAAGGTGAGAGAAATTTTGTAGAACTGTATATCAAATTTAAAATCTTGGTGATAAAAATTCTATATATAACATCTGTTATTAAATCTACACCATTTGTTCTTACATCATCTTAGACTAATATTAGATATAAAAATAGGACTCAACACCATAAGTTGGTATTATCCATGAAGACAGTTGATACAAACTAGCTAGAGATTGATTACGAATAGAATAACAGTTCTGCATACAAACTGACTTGACTCAAAGTGAATGGATGCATATAATAACTAAACTCAATAAATAAATTACAACAATAAATGAATTACACCATATTTGTTTCTACGCAACAACTAAAATTATATATTTAATTCGCACATTGAATATATATATATATCTGCATACATTATTTGTACATACAATGATAATGATTCTGAAAAACTGATGGGAGATACCTCAAGTGAAAGGTTGATTGCAGGCAAAAATATCTGAAGGGCGCTGGTTGGCAGATGAATTTCGGAAGACTGACCTTGACTACAATGCAGTACTTTGCACAAAACTTGCATACTATGTCTCATATATACAATGCAAATATGTTTAAAAAGGATTAAATGCTCAGTGCAAGACCACAAAGGTTCAGAGATTCTTTGTTTTTCACACCTTTTATCACCTAATGTAATTAAATAAAACCCCTTTTTAGTGGTAATGCGGTGGTTGGAATGGCCATAATGAACCGACAAATCATACCTATATCTCTTTGGTGATTAGGAATAAAGTGAAGAACATTAATTAACTAAGATTTATAAATTAAACCCATCTTCAGTGGTAATAAAATGATAAAGGATGCAACTTTAGTAAAGCAAATGCCGTGTATTGCCTTGGAATTCGTCTGGTCTTTAGACGCACTATCATGATATTTTATATCCTTTGTTTTAAGCTTTTTCAGATTTATTTATTCATGTAATTATAGTCCTCATCAGTGTCGATATAAGTTGACAATCACAACCGATTCATGTAATAGGACCATTATTTTGATTCTTCTAGCAAATTAATCAACTATTACGATGAACTAATTAATTGCTAGGGTTTCCTTAATAATATTTTTATAATTATTTAAAACTATTTTTTATTTTTTTACTTAGTTAAGCTCCATTTTGAAATATAAATTATTTAATTGAATTTTAAAAGAAAAAGATTGAAATAAAGGTACCATGAGCAACCATTTAAAAATATAAAGACCAATAAAAGCATAATATCAGCTTTTTTAGTTCTGTAAATTAAAACTCCCCGTTATTCTCATATGCTTTTCACTTCACCTTCTGTGATCTTGCTTAAACGAATTACAAATTGTGAACCAACAATAAAATAATTGTTGATCGAATTAACAAAGAACCCCACCGCAAAGCAGAAGAATAAATATTCTATAGATACATGATTTCTGTATTGTATATGAATTACTCAAAAAACTAAGTCCAATTAATCCACTATTTTTACACATAATGAGAACATTGAATTTAACATTTTAGATATTCTAGAAGCTAGTTAAACCAATCAAAAGAGGTTAAGGGTCGTGCTAAATAATGGGATTAGAGTTACTGTAAGTATTTTTGTTAATTTATGAAGATGTGTGTGCACATTCATTTATAATGTTTACACATTTATTTGGCTAAGTACAATCGTGTCTGTAGTTTATACATGTTGTAATATATTGCATAAATGTGTACACATTTTGTTAGTCTGAACTTATTGCAAATATGTGTGCACATTTTACTTAGTTTTGTAAACATTTTTTTCTAATCAGACCTTTTAGCACAGGTGTCATGTTTTCATTGCTTGTTAGGATATTTTACAGCTCTAAAATATGTATGAGAGGTCCATTTGCAGGTGTCCGACATTTCAGAAGTGGTCCTAGAAAGTTGTTGTGCTTTTTTCATATGTGGTCCGACAATGTTTTTGAGAACTTTCCTAAAATAGCCCAACATGTGTAAGCCTTTGTCGGCTAAGTGTGCCAAGGGTTTGTTGAGCAAGGTTTATTTAAGATCTTCTTCTTTCTTGCATTTTTCTTTGAACCTAGATATTCCATTTTGTTCTCTGAAAGTTCTTAGAGAGCTTATTCCTTTGGTCAGGTTCCTTATGTTGTTTTATACTCAAAATACTATGATTATCTTTTGTCGTTGAGTGTTTGTTGGAACATGGTTCCTTTGATGAAAGATTGAAGGGAGTTCAAGCTGTGGAGCTGAAAGTAGATTTTGGCATTTGAAGCTTGATTGTAGCTCAAGCTATCCAGGTGGTTTCTTGGACTCAAGAAATCTATAACTGAGCACTAGAGTAATCAGAGGGTGGAATTAGAGTCTTGTAGAGCAGGGAGTTGTTTACATTATTGTACTTAATTTCGGCTCTATTTTGACTTGGAACGTGTTTGCTAAAGTTGATTTGCTTTGTCTGAACATGATCCCATGGATGTAGGTTGTTAGCCGAACCATGTAAAAATGCTTGAGTGCTTTACTTTCTGCTTATGTTTGATTTTGTGTTTAAGTTGAATGCCTTTTCCCACAAACACTAATAAACACAATCAACCCATTCCGCAAATGTTTAATAAACTTGATTAAGCATAAACTTTCATTTGGTATCACAGTAGATTCTGAAGAGTTATTTTAGTAGATTTTTTTTTTTTTTTTGGTGCTCTATTTTTGCTATCATTTGCATCTTTTGTATTTTTGCCATCTTTGACATGATCTGTTCCTTTTTTTTGTGTGTTCACTTTTTTCCTTGTGTGTTAAGATGATTCTCTTTAGTGAAGGGTTCAACTCATAGAACATCCATGTTAGAAGGACCAAACTACCCATATTGGAAACCTAGGATGCGTGTCTTCTTAAAATCAATAAATGAACGAGTTTGGATCTCTGTTCTGCATGGCTGGAAAGCCCTTATGATTGTTGAGGATGATGAGACAAAGCCTAAACCCACTGATGAATGGACTAAAGATGAACTGGAACTTGCTAACTTTAATTCTAAATCAAGTCACACAATCTTTAATCTATTTCTATCAATCAAATTAAAATCATTGCAAACTGTGATGTAGCTAAAGATGCATGGGATAAGGTTCACATAAAAAAAATGAAAGAACTGATGTTGTTAAGAAGACAAGGCTTAGGAGACTTGTCACTCGGTTTTGAAAATTTGACTTTGCATGATGATGAAACTATCATAGATTTTTATCTGTGTAGGATTTGTGATGTTTCTAATGAGTGTTATGCCTTGGGAAAAGTTTATGCTAATGCTAAACTCGTCATGAAATTTCTATGCTAATTGCCCAAGAGATTTATGTCAAAGGTGACCTCCATTGAAAAATGTCATGATGTGGACTCCATGGACCTTGATAAGCTGATTGGATCTATTCAAACTTTCGAGCTCAATCTAAAATGGTAGGACAAGCGGAAATCAGGTAAAGTCCTAGCTCTAAAGCATGAGGTAAATTCTAATCCCTTGAAAATGTTGCTGAAAGTGATTTGAGTGATTGTAAATGTGCCTTACTCACTCAAAAAATTGCCAAATTTTTTAGGAAAACATGAAAAAACTAAATGTGGCCAAAAAAGGTAAACAACCTTTTGCGAAAAAAAATTCTGATCAGCTTAAGTTTGGAGTGTTTTAGAAAAAGTTTTCAAAAGAAAATGAGAATAAAAATAAAGGCAAAAGTGTTTTGAGTGTGAGGGTTATGGGCACATCCAATATGAATGTGCTAACACCTAAAGAAAAAGGGTAAAGTGATGGCTGCTACCATGAGTGAGAGTGAGGCAGATGAGTCTAATGAGAATGAAATTTTTTTAGCCTTTATGGTTAATCAGGAAGATAGTGAGAGTGTGTCATCTGATGATTCCAATGATATGTATATTGAGCAACAAAAAGCCTATGATAAAATGTATGAACAATGGTTAAAGGCTATCAAGAAATTGCAGTCTCTTGAAGCTAAAAACTCAACCCTGTTGAAAGAAAAGAAAACCTTGTTTGACAAAGTTTTGTCCTTAACTTCTGATTTAACTAACAAAGAATTTTTGTCAGATCAAATATTGATTGACCTAACTGAGGCTAAGACCATTGTTGAGAAGTTGAATGCAGGTACAAGCAAGCTTGATGAAGTGCTTGGGCAAGAAAAATTGTTTGGAGAGGGATTTGGTGTGGGATTCACTCTAGGTGCTAGCACATCCACATTTGGTGTGCACACATTTGTCAAAGCCATAGAGCTTGCTATTGTTATTGATACTGGTAAACAAGTTGTGAAGGTAAATAAATTTGTTCATGTTTGTCACTTTTGTAATATGAAAGGTCATATCAGACCTAAGTGTTTCAAGCTCATTGCCTATTTGGAAAAATACCTTGAAAAACATGACATGTTTTCTCATGCAACAACACATGCAAAGATTGGTTTTTATTCTAAAAAGGTTTGAAAAACCAAGTCTGGTGTAAATTGTTTTGTTGCCCATACCTCCTTGCTTGTCTTTCAAAATGATTAATGGTACTTTGATAGTGGTTGTCCTAGACATATGATAGGTAACAGATCTCTTTTGGCTAATCTAGAATTCCTTGATAATGGTCATGTTACCTATGGAGATGGAATGAAAGGTAAAATTCTTGGTAAAGGTTCAATTGATATACCTGGATTTCCTATGTTAAATGATGTCTTGTGTGTTGATGAATTGAAAGCAAATCTAATTAGCATTAGTCAGATCTATGATAAGATTTTTGTTGAGCAATTCCCTAAAACCAATTGTCAAGTCTTGAATAGTGAAAATATTTCCTTGTTAGAAGGAAAGAGGTCAAATGCTAATTCCTATCTATTGACTGATCAAGTTTCTTGTTTTAGCACAAAGACAAATTGTGTTGATTTGTGGCACAAGAAGCATGGACACATGAACTTCAAAGACTTTTCTGAGACTTTCCAAAAAAGATGTTGTAAAAGTTTTGCCCAAACTTGAATTTCCAAAAGGTAAAGTTTGTGCCCCTTGTCAACAAGGTAAGCAAACAAAGATCTCACACAAATTTTTGTCTCATTTAATTACCTCTCGTGTTTTGGAATTGCTTCATATAGATCTTAGGGGTCCAATGCAAACTGAAAGCATTGGTGAGAAGAGGTATGTTTATGTTTATGTAGATGACTTTTCAAGATATACTTGTGTTGATTTCTTAAAAGAAAAATCTGATGCTTTTGATACCTTTCAAGTCTTGGTTAAGAAAGTACAACTTGAACAAACTTTCTTGGTGAAGAAAGTTATAAGAATTAGAAGTGACCGTGGGAAGGAGTTTGAGAATGCTAATTTTGCTCAGTTTTGGGACATGCAGGGGGTTAAACATGAATTTTCAGCTCCAAAGACATCACAACAAAATGGTGTTATGGAAAGGAATAATAGAGTGCTTCAAAAAATGGCAAGAGTGATGTTGAATGCCAAGAAACTTCCTAAGAGACTATGGACTGAAGCAATCAATCTGCTTGTCACATTTCTAATAGAGTTTTTCTAAGAAAAAAGGATTATTGAGAATATTCACAGGCAAATGAAACTGATAA